TACACGTCTTGATATTCACGATAAATTTATTCATTTTATGCGGGTCACGGTTCGACAGCGGAGAACAACAAATTATGCCACGGCACGTTTTTTATCACACTGAATACCATCGATACCATGACATAATAACGACAACTGAAAGGCCAATAATTCCACTATTTCAAATACACTTTTAACAAATAAGAGACATAATACATCCGCTAATTAATTACTGTGTGATATCGGGTTTATTGAACGACAAATATAATTTTCATATTAGTAAACGAGTTTAAAAATTCATATGTTATTCCATGTATTTGTTTTGCTGTTATCACCATGAATACATCGCAACTTAATTATACGATAGCATGATTTGAATGATTTTCTAAGATATTTACCGTTTCAGAGAAACAATGGTAACATGCTCACCTCACCCTGATTTAATTTTATTAGAAGTCATGGAAATTTGGCAATTTTACACCAGGAAAATCAGAGTACGGTAATTATCTTGGTTGAATCACCACCGACCCATGCCAGGACAATCGAACGGGGTTCATGAACCAGCCGCAGAGATTTCCCTTCAGTACTTCTGGTAATTGTCTAATGAACTTTCAGACAAATATTGATCTATCTTAACGACATGGGGCTTTGATTTGAAAATGAGAGTGCAACTTCTTCCTCAACTTTTTAAAAAATGTACTTTTTTAGCACCACTGTCGCTCTCAGATTTGTTCTTTTTGAGATGATATCTTCAATTCTCTAATTTTGAAGAATATTTTTGTCATGTTTGGTAAAAAGTGATATTTTTTGGACTTCTTGCTGAAAACAGCAAGTCCGATTTCTTTGATATTATATACATATAAGTACCTCGTGTAGAACTCTCAGGCTTGTTAATTTTCTAATAATATATCAATGTGCATTGCTAACAGCGTAGTAGTAATGGAGTAAAAAAACGGAGAGATGGCCGCACAGCCGTGTCATGTAGTCCCAAACATGAGTATGGTTTCTGTAGCATGCACTATGTGTCAGCACTAGAACTTGCAATTTGCACATATAAAAGTCAAGAGAGACAACATTGACATTCAATGTCCGAAACTGTCGCCTGGCACAAAAACATTTTTTAAAATAGAGTACCACCGACACTGAGAAGTTTCTACTCTGTCGTTGACTGTGACGCCACAGCTAGCTACTACTCTGAGAATAGATAACGGTCAAAAATGAGAATCGTTTACAAATATGCAAATTATCGCTTCACTAATGAAAGAAACGAAAGCGAGGCCGAGCACGACCCATCATATAGACACCGCGTGCACACATCACTGGCTACGACGTCTGTCCACATCTCGCTGCTATTAAATCAGATAATGTAAAAAAGTTCGACTTGTACGAGGATTAACAAAACAGAAGACAACAAGAAAAAACAACTCGGGATATTATTCAAATTCTGATAGATGGATTCCTACGTGGTGTGTAGAGTGGTGGCATTGTGTACGATGTTAATCCTGTTTCTCCCGGTATCAGCTGCACAGATAGATCCCACTGGTGATAATATATGCCGTGATCCTATAACAAGGTTTGTATCCAAATAATGACCTTCTAGTTAACGTACCACTCATAGTGGGTACGACATTAAATCCGCACTGATGTTGATTTATAGTGCGCGCTCTGTAAACCGCGACGCGCATATTACACACGATTTTACTCGAAATTCATCGCGCTTGGAAAAAATACAAATTCTTGATTTGTTATTGAAAAAATATTATAAAATTATTTCAACTAATTTGTTAACATTCCGACCACGTCACGTGATCATACTTACATCAATACATCTATATTCACATGACTTTATTATTATTATTATTATCAATATTATGATTGTAAAGTTACAGTAGTATTACACACTGTTATTATTAATAATAGCAGTAACGGTATTTAGGGCGTAAACTCGTGTGTAATAGAATAAATGTTCCATTGTTGGTCGCTGTGTTCATAATCTGTGCAAAACGTGGAATCGCAGATCAATGAAACAGATTGCAAAGCGATGCGACATCTGTGGCATCAGTTTCGCTCTTTACATTTCAATTAAAACATGGCGATGTATTCCTTCATCGTTTTCAAAACTATTTACTTGTCGCTCAGTCGCTTAGACTGTATGTTGCTAGTGTGAAATTAAAAATGACGCATGGTTGGCAAATGTGATGTACTTGAATGAACGGGCATTTTGAAACCACTACAATAGTTGATATTTGTGAATGATTATGACATAAATTACGGTGCACAGAACTCCGACAAACCAATCGAAACGAGCGCACACCAGTTAGTTGGCACCGTGATGGACAAAAAATAAAATACAATTACCGTGTTCACACTAAAAACATCACGCCGGCGTGAGTTGCGCTTGGTAATTCAAAAGATAAGAATCCCCTAATCTAATCGTGAGCTCACACCAACGTTTCGCACTAACGATGTGAATATAGCGTCGACCATCTCATAGGTTAGTAGTCAGATATTGCTTTTGTGTATACATGTATATGTTTTCGTCGCAACCGGGTATCAATAGTCGATGATTTTTTGATTAAATACTCTATTTTCGCTTAAAATTAATTATCTCTATGTTCGCCGAAGGAAAGATTCAGTGAAAATAAAATCCAGAAAATATACCTTTTTCCTATATTTTACATTCAGCTCTTCAAAAATCATATGATAATATGAGGTTATCACGAGGATACTGCAAAGTATGTACGAAGACATTACAGCGGGAGTATCGACCACCCGCACGGAGGTCGTTGCGACCGCGTACTGCCTGAGTAAATATACATCTTTTTCTCCTAGGAATACAATCATGGGAATGCCGAAATCATAAACGTTTAGACATAGTCCATCTATAGAGGAACTGTGGTTTAGAACAGATTAACAAACTTCTTTGTGCAGGGTCCGGTAAAAGACTGGGGGCAGCCATATTTGTTTTTATTATTTGAGGACGCTTACGCGTGTAATCGTTCCATAGTTGGAATTCGCATTTCCTAATATGGTAGGGTGAAGATACCCAGTGCAATTCCTTAAAATTACGCCATGCTGTAACTTATGGCGTTACGGTGACAGCTGTATAATAATAAATTCATACAAAACACTCAAAAAGTTATTTCAGCGAAAATTAATTCCAGCTAAAATAAAGTATTTTTACAGTATCATACATATTTACATGAGTTGAAACCAAACAGACTTCGAATCTAACAACATGTGCATGTATATAAACTGAACTGTTTGACACATATCTGCTACTCTGAAATAAGTTAAACGTAACGAAAGTTGAACATGGTATTCAAACGCAGTCCAAGGTTCAATTTACTTTCAATCCAGTTGAGAATGATCACCGAGTGATGGCGTTTAAGCATTATTCTGTGTTTGACACCGGCGTAAGAGTTTCATAAATAGTTACGCTGGTGCTGGTACCGCCGTTTAAAGGGCGGTGGTCGCCGCGCCACGCATGCGCGAGATATGGGACTCACAGAAACAAAGATGGCGACTTTGACTGTTTAAACACCGTTATTCAGATCAGACATACGAGACGTGAAAGGCAACCAAGTTACCACCGTCACATAGTATACACAATACTAGTATCACGTAATAATCACGATTTCGTCACGTGCACGTGGGATGTGATTTACTAACATATTCTCTATCCACATGTGGCGAGGGTTTGTACACCGAAAGCTGGAATAACATGAAAGAAGTACTAGAGGTCATGGAATAACATGAAAGAAGTACTAGAGGTCATGGAATAACATGAAAGAAGTACTAGAGGTCATGGAATAACATGAAAGAAGTACTAGAGGTCATGGAATAACATGAAAGAAGTACTAGAGGTCATTCACGATTTTTAATCGAGAATTAAAATTTGCAAACAGTCGAGAGTTGTAAATCTATAACGATAATCTACAAATCACGCACAGCTTTGTACAATATGGTTGCCAAACTTAAGTTTTTTTTTACATATTATTAATTCGAGTTGTGAAATTAGTTGTCTGAGATTAAAGCGGAAGGGTCGTTATCTGCGCATGTGCGAGAATTGAGTTCCAAGCAACGATGACAGCGTACGCTAAAAACGCAAAGGCTTCTGGGTAGACGATAAACAACGACACGCTATAGCCGTTTGCCGCATGCGCAGATAAGGGGTTTCCGATTTAAGTCATCAGTGTATAATATAGTAGCATTGTTTTGTTTTGAAAAGTCTCAATAATAATAATAAAGTGTGTATTACCAACGTTACATTTACGATCTGTGAATACAAATATTTAGCTTTCGGTCAAATTTAAATATAGTAGTTTGCTCAAGAACTCAACATTACCGCGCACATGCCTTCACGTGACATGGCAACCGCGACCACCCAGTTGCTGACAGGATTATTATTTTTCATTTTTTTTTTAATTCAGCATTCTGTGAACTAACTATCCCACAATGCACTATAATTTAGCCGCCGCGTGATAAAAGTGAATGTATATAGTAACATTGAAACTATTACAAATGGCGTCATTGCGTAACGCGTTTGCTGATTGGCTGCCAGGTGAGAGAGTACTTACGTGAAAATTGGCAGAGACGTGCCGCTAGCACCTCCAAAAATGTGAAAAGGGTTACCCATTTTCGGACAATTTGCTAAAAATGTCACCCCTTCTCAGACTAAGGCTATTTTCTGACACCAGTGATGAACTACACGAGTCATTTCCTGTAAGAATTGACGATTTTCAAGTCTTGAACGAAGCTTCAAGCGAATTTTTAGCTTTATCATTTCATTAATGGTTGATCAAATTGTAGACCCCATTACAGACACTTTGGCTAAAAAAAAGGAGACCCGTTCTGGCGGCACATATCTATATAGCTTTTAGTATGTGAGTGACAACGAGATTGGCTGGTTAGATTCAAGCGTGATTGACTATTATAATTGTTTATGAAAAAAAATAGGTTTATATGAAGTCATATAAGGGACGACGTCAAAAGCGTGTCGGATAAAAAACTTATTTGCTTTAGTTTGGGGGCGGGGGGTTTTGACCTCAAAAAGTTTCCATCCGACAAAAACAATTTTATTTTGTAATGAAGTCAAAACAATCTTGGAGTATTTATAGTTCTTTTTTTTTCTATCCAAAATAGCAAAATACAAAAATAACAGAAAATGAAAAAAATCATCAAAGACGAGAAAATGGTTTGATCCGAGTGTAAATATGTGCATCAAATGAGGTCAATTTCAGAGCATGGACCTAGAGCATGCGCAGAACCCAGAAAAGTAGTTTGTGCATGCGTATATTCCCCTCATTATTTCCTCTTGAACGGCTGAAGGTTTGGTGGCTGTTTTTTTTGGCCGACAACCAACTGCTATGCCATACTACTGTCCGATTATCAATTTATATTTAATGATGAATGTAGTCTGATCAATATTTATCAATTAAGTTTCAGTGTTGGGTGGCGGGGGGGGGGGGGGCTAAAGGAATTACAGCGCGGTAGTCGTCGCGCTGCGCACGTGCGAGATATATGGGTCTCATATAAACAAAGATGGCGACTTTGACTGTTGCGCAGAACAACGAGTATGAACTGAGACGTTTTCAAGCTCTAATTACTAGTAGGTAATTTTCATGTGATTGGAAAGTATCCAAAGAGTCACCGGCGGTAATCATTGCAAATCGCACTCAGGTCAAACCTCATACTTGTGATTTCCATTTGAGGAGCGCATTGGATTGTGGGAAAATCAATGTTTATCAATACAAATGTCGCACATGCGCAGCGCGACGACTGCCGCGCTTTAAGTTTTTTTTATAGATGTTGTCCCTAAGGCATGCTCGTGTTACATTGTTTATAAAAGCCAAATATTCTAATTCTCGATTCGGGTTTCTAGGCATCCATAGCCTTTAAAATATGCTTGCTTTATTTATACGTAGGCAGTTTTTGTTTTACACTGTCGGCAAATCTGGAACATACTGAAACGCTCAAATTACTGCAATTATTTATTGCGCTATATTTTATCAGAATAATTCAGTACATTTTATTTCCAAAGGAATGTGATGTCACATACACGTGCTAAAATATATCAACTAACTGAAAACACACAGAATCAGTTCTAGTACTTCGCTGTTGCGTTATTGTAAACAAAAAGACATGCAGACAGAAACACAGATTGAAAAAGCGAGACTAATTATAATCCAATGCATTAAGATTTTACAGACACCGCCAAACCTGTGTATAGTGAGACGTCATTAAAATTTTCTTTATAGACAGGTGTTCTTTATACTATATAGAGGTTAAAATATTTTTTATGGATCTATCAGGGGGAAATCTCTTCTCTCGGGTTCTCCACACTTGCCAGGGGGGAAACTCGTCTCGTCTCTCTATCTCGTCCCCTTGAGGTACGGGATCGGGAAAGTCACTTTAACTTTACAGTCAAATAAGGCACACACAACGAAATACGTTTCAGCTCTCGTCTTAGTCGATCTTTTGGAGCACTCTATAAGACACAGCGCCCTGGGGAAAAGTCCCCAAGACTCTCACAAGGCTGAACCAAGACTCGCCCAAGACTGGACTGCCTCAAGGCTCGCCCCTGGACTGGACTCTCGACTGCGTCTGTCGTGGAGTATTCGCCAAGACCAACTCAAACTCTCTTTATTCATTTTCAAAACTCTAACCAATTACAAAACAGTAAAAGACTCTAGGGCGTAACCTTCAATCATAAAGCCAATCACACTAAGTACTGAATACGTCATATCTTTTCATTAATCGTTCACTACATTAATAACTATGGATGTAAACTGTCAGAATGAGTAGTCTAAAAAGCGGCGGTTATCTGGTAATTAGTTCCAAATCACTGAGCCAAGTTCCGTCCAAAACTTCAAATAGGCCTACACGATGACAGACATAACACAGCAATTCGCTAATAATCAGTTAATTAAGTCGGTTAACAGATACGCAAAAACAAATTCATGACAGATCACCAACTTGTACATTTGACATTACTATTATTTGTCAAAAATGATTAGATGGCATTGTTGAAACAAAAACATATTTTTTTGAGTTGATAAAATTCAAAACAAGTATGACTTAATGAGGAATTAATTATTTAATAAATATAATGCTAATTATTTTGTCGGTTTGACTGTAGCAGTTTATGTAAAAAATTACCGCAGACACAATGTCTTGATTTGCGATTTCTCTATGTTCTCACAAAAGTTCTATTGAATATTTATTTTTCAAAATCCTGCTGAAAATGTTGCTTACCAAGAACATCGCAATAGACGATTTGCGGCTTTCAACGCTTGATATTCTGTTCGATAACGTCAGTATAACGCTACAGACTCGTTCGAAGTCCAATCTTGACGCACAAGACGGCTCATGTTTCAATCCAAAGCTACTCACATTTCAAAGAGTTTACAGTGTCGAGTCGAGCGTTCACCTGCAAACTACGGTGTCGAGTCGAGCGTTTACCTTCAAACACTTGCTGTTTCTCAAATAGATAGTCGGAAGAGTTTTAGTTGTCTAAAAAAAACAAAGATAATTGTGACGTAATCGGACACAAATATCACGTGATACAGAAACTCTCGTATGTTCAGTCTCCAAAGCGGAACATTGAAAATGACGTCTTTTTGATCAAAATAGTAAGTCTTTTGTTTTCTGACAAGTATACAATTCTCAATTCCAGGGGTTACCGTTGTTGTGATGGGTTCTATCCACAGGGATCTCTGTGTGTAGGTAAGTTTACATCAATATTTCAACATTATCAATATTTTTTCACAATTCTATGTTCTATTCTATTCTATTCTATTCTATTCTATTCTATTCTATTCTATTCTACATGTTATCAAATTTAATCATGGTATTATTATTTTGGCGTCATCATGAAGCGTATCAGAACTCGCTTTTGTACGAGGCTAAGACGTCATGGATTACGTCATATGTTTAGCAACAAAGTGATACTACTGTCGAAATGCACCATGGTCATATTTACGCTCATTTTCAGAGTGTGACGATAACTGGTACGGCCCTGAGTGTGCTCTAACTTGTCAATGTTACAATGGTGCCGCTTGCCACCACGTGACAGGAAGATGTTCTTGCTCTGGTTTTTGGGGTGGCCCACACTGCACGGAGTGTAAAAGACAGCTGTACTCTAGCTACTGCCACCCACGGTGCATGCACTGTT